AAATTATCCAATAAAGAATCTTGATTAGGTGTAACATCATGCGATCAAAACAAACGTCCGTTTAGAAAAAACTGCCTCAAAAATTTGCTTAAGAAACAATTCTTCGTGCTCTAACAAAAAAAAATTCCTAACCCTAACATAAAAGAACTTAAACAATTTTATCGATCATCACGTGATCGCAAAAAATTTGTTGGCGATGCTGGGGAAGATGACTTTTTTAGGTCATGTCCAGTGTCCAAGCGTCACATGTCCAAGAATGTCCGCAACATATTCAAGCTTCAAAAACTAATATATTAATATTTTTATTTTAGAAAGTTAAAATAAATTAACTTAATAAAATTTCGAGTAATTTTAATTTATTTATTTGTTTAGAAATGTCCAAAAATGTCCAAACTCATGTCCCGTGACAACACTGTCTGGCATTATTAGCCAGATGCATTTAAATTAGTGTTGCCTGCTGCAAATATTAATTGCGACATTAATATAGTGTAATTAGGGTTGCAACTGATTACGACATTTTATATTTAAAAATGATAAATTGTTGTAAATTATAACAATGTCATGATATCATAATATCGCAATATCATAATATTGCAATATAATAATATTATAAAATTATAATATTACAAGATCATAATATTGCAATTGCAATATATAATAACAATATTGTATTATATTTCATATAATTAAATTTTAGATCAAATATATAACATTAACTTTGCTGTTTTATCAAGACAAATAACAATAATGGTCAAAATTTTAAAAGAAAAAAAGCACCAGATTGATAATAGTAGTAATTCTAATAGTGAAAGTAGTAATGAACCTACTGGTCATTCATTTACTGGTATTTGGAGAGAAATTGAATTAGGTAAAGAAGTATCTCATGGAGTTTACAAGGGAAAATATATTCATTGCAATAAGGAATTTAAACATGTTAAATTTATTAAGACTAGAGCTTATATTGCATATAAATGTTCTAGTTGTCCTAAGCATATTAAGCAATATTATAATTATATAATCACAAATAATCTTTTTGATGATCCAAATGTTGAAAATTATACAATACCAATTATAGCTGTTTCTGAAGTCAAGTCACTTAAATCTACAGCTCAAAAAAAAATCTAAACATGCAAAGCTTTCAGAAATTCATTAGGCAGAAATTGATGAAATATTAATTGTAGTATTTGTTTTTTTGTGGTCTACCTTTTAATATAATTAAAAATCTATTCAAACTTAAGTTTAGCTCCTTTATAAGCAGAATATAAAAAAATACTAGAAAGTAATTTGGATTATTGAATTCTATATATTATTTATTAAATATTTAAATACAATGATTGCTAAATTCACAATATTCTTTTTGTGATAATTTATTAATTATAACACCAACTTTAAGAAAAAAATATAACAATCAGCAAGATTAGATCAGTTTCTTTCTACTTTAAGAATTGCAAATTTAATAGGTGTGAGTATTTTTGTTAAGTACTGCATATTATCAAAAAATCTACAGCTTTTTAGAATTATAATAACTTTGTTATTTGTAATTTGATATGCAAAATTATCTTTAATTTCTTCTAAGTATTTTTAAGGCAGTTTTTTCTAAACGGACGTTTGTTTTGATCGCATGATGTTACACCTAATCAAGATTCTTTATTGGATAATTT